CTGTTTACCAGGATTAACTGTAGGCTTTTAACCAATGAGAAGACAGATGGTGACTACAATGTATGATAACCATAATTATAAATTCTGCTCAAAAAATTTAGCTTGAAAACTCATTTTGCGACAACTAAACCAAAACCGTTGAAAAGCGTAAGAGATGTATGATGGAGACTAACCAATCAATATGATGCGTTTTGCTGGGTTTTCAATTTTGTTAAGATCTAGATTGTTTGTATTCTTCAATGTTGTTGGTTTATTTAAGAAAAAGATTGCTCTCCTTTGCTCTCAAGTAATGTTCAGATTGGTTAACTCTTTCTCAAATCGCCCAGTTCATGGTACCCACACGGTAACACTATTCTCAAATTAAAAAGTGATGTAGATTTAACTTTGGCTTTAAAAGATATTTTTAACTGCTTATTTTACACGGCGTAGTTAGTTTTGTAAACACTTACAGTTCCTCTACAGAGGTTTGTAAGGACTTTGATTACCAACAATATATTTATCTGATTTATCCTTAGCTACCAAGACAAAGATTTTTTTGAAGAATGCAAGAAAGAGTACCTGAAGAAACGAGAAGATTATCAAATGAACTATGTTCAGTCTGGAAATACGGCAGATATGAAGAAGAAAGAATCAGTAATAGCATAAATTGAGGAATGAAAAGAAAAGAAATTAAGGATTTGTAGTAAATGAAAAAGCTTCACTGCCACTGACTGAGAACATCTGAGGTTAAACCTCTTGATAAACATTCCTATGATTATACATACTGTATGATGTGTGACACAACAAAAACAAAATGACTTTTGCAAGAAGATTGAGGAGTGTTTTTTGCACCATCAAATTTCTGGACCCCAGACTTTTACATGTATGTCCCCGACATGTACAGATTGTAGAACTGATCTGATCAACTGCTAAATTTCTCTTACTGAGTACAATCCATTTTTATAGTTTAGCTAGGGAGAGTTTTGTCTTGAATCAAACTGTTTGTTACTTATTCTGACTCACAACCTGACTAATATAAGTGATTTATTGATCTCAGCATTGCACTTTATTACAACAACGATTTATCTTCCAGCGTTGCACAGTAGCTTCAATTAAAGGATTTTCCCGGGTCATGGTTTTGCTCTACATACAGTTGTGGTACAATGTACTCTTTGATCTATGATCAAGCTTTCTCTGAGACCTAGCCAGGAAATGTACATGTTACAAATAAGTGATCAGAAGACATGTGGCAAGACTTGAAAGTGGGCATTCTAAAATTCTGTCAGATGTGATTGTCTTACTTGAAACTTGTTTATCTGCAGAATCAGCTAGATACAGCATGAAAATATCCAAAATTGTATACTACATGTATGTAAACATTGTCACTGGAAAGCACTGCTGGGGAGTACATGGTCAATAAAGTATTTTGTAAACATCTCTGGGGCTAATCGTCATCTCCATTGTCACCTTTATCGCTTAGTTTTAAAAACAACATTGTCTTCGTCACAAGTTTATATAAATATTCATCTGGGCTTTGCCCATCTTCAGACTGTTTATCACACCCTGTGTTGGAGTCTTGTAGATCCAACTTGACAGTGACATAATTCCTTAACAGCGCCAATGGAATGGGTAATGGTAACCACAAGTGATAGAGTCTTAAGGAAGAGCCATGGGTCTTGACACGTAGCTTTCTTGACATTGAAGATAACGCTGCACCTATTAGTTAGTAATAACAAGCTGTCTTTAGTGGCTAATTCACACTTAGTATCACCCAACTAGTGGACTAATGCAAATCCTACATTTTGATTGGCTACGCTACTAGGGGACTATTAGTAATAGTCATCGAGTAGCAAAGTTGGCGCCATCAAGCGTGACGCTTTCTTTCGTTTTATTCCCAAATAAATATTTCTTGAACTTGCATTTGTTAACTTTATTATTACTTTTTCTCTCTGACTAGTTGGGTGATGCTAAAACAATTAGACCCTTCGCCCTCAAGGGCCACGGGTCAATAGCCCAATCGGCTTTGCCTCATGGGCTATTGACCCGTAGCCTACAAGGGCCACGGGTCTAATTGTTAATTAGTCAGACACAAATTCCCCTGACTGCATTCACCTACATTGCATCATTTCACCATCACTGGAGAATTTGGGAACTTATGTACGGTAGACTGCCGCTTATACACTGTAAGCCCAGGGCTTATACAACTTCGTATGAGGTTTTGAATGGCCTTAACTGAGGGGCTTATTTCAGTGGAAAAAATAAACGGTTTTCTAATGAACTATGGTGATCTAAGCTTCTAAGTGGAAGGGCTTATAAGTGGCAGTAAACCATTCATAAATAGTGATACAGTATTACTAAGAAGTCTCTCTTCTGAAATGGCTTCAGACATGAATATGGTGTCCTCAACACTCCCATAAAATAAGTGACAAAATCAATGATTTTCTTATTTCAGCTAATATTGTAAGCAACTAGAGACGCATGTGTTGTTTATTGATTTTATCACCAGAAGCAAAGCAACTGCTATTAATGTTACCAGAGATGGCCATGTTTGGTAGGAGACAAATCATGATACAGCATTTGAACACAATAAAGAATTGTGTTACAAACATTTGGAGAAAGTCAGTCTCACCTTGTGAATTAGAGCAGCTTGTGCATTGTGGATAAAACTGTTGCTGTTGTCCTTTTCTAACCAGTTTATTTGGAGGCATATGATCTCCTACAAAAGATGTACTCCACCGTTTTCCACAAGAATGGCAACCATATTTTTTCCCTGCATAACAGCAACAGTCGACTCTCAGCTAAGTAGCTAATTCACCCGAATCAAGTTTACTGTAGGTGTTGTCGGCCAACACTATTGACTAATATATCAACAGACACTTGGTTGATACATCGGCAGAATATCAGTTGACACTCAGCCAATACATGGTTGATAAATTGGCCAGCAGTCAGTCGAGTGTTGGTTGAGTATCCGTTGAGTGTCAATAACTTCCTCACTCACCGATCACGTAGCGCTTCCCCCCGGGGGGGAGGAACTCCCTTATATGGGCTATATAGGTNCAATGAATTTCTCACAAGAAGGTGGAGCCAGTCATACATCTAATCCTGGAGGGGGGGTACTCCCTTCTATGAGCTTTATAGGTATCATAATGTGCGTCCCCAAAGGGTATGGTTTCGTTTTGGTCGTAAATAGGGCATGGATTTTGCACTCTAGCCTTGATATGGGTATGTTTTTAAGAAGAGGCCACTTTTTCATCATTATCGAAAAGAAAATTAACAAAAGTCCTTCACAGATTATGTTTACAGTAATTTAACATTGGTCTGAACTAAGGAGCTTATTGTAACGCAGGTCTGAAACAGGGTTTTGATTTAATTGGTCAGGTCATAAATAGGGTATCAAATTTTTGGTAAGGTCATAAATAGGGTAGGGAAAATGGTAGATTTTGGTCATAAATAGGGTAAGGGTTTTGGGAAGCGGGCCGCACACCCCCACCCAACTTTTCTGGGAGTACCCCCCCTGGGATATCAGTTGAGTATCGGTCAATGAGTTGGCTGATATTTGTGTCAGTCGAGTGTCAATTCAGTAATGGCTGACATACACTGTATCAACCAATACTCAACTGATACTCAACCAACACTTGGCCGAGTGTTGGACTGCATATCAGTCGAGTGTTGAGCCTACAGTGAACGTGATCCATTCCCCTTACTTTTCCATAGTGTTTTACAAATATTGAAAAACAGTAGCCACTGTGAAAGAGGTGGGAACTGGGGGGGGGGGGCCACCACTACCTATATACAGTAAACAACAGCAGTTTACACTATTCGTGAAAATGAAAAATTTTCAAATTTAGAGAGAATTTTCAAATTCCATGTGTGGTGTAAATCCTTAATAATATTACNGGGGGGGGGGAACACAATCCATTCACCTTTAATTTTGAAGAAAAGGAGTGAATGGTACAAGAACTTCTTGGAAAAATTCCTAGAGAATCTGAACTTTAAACCATTTCCTGGAAATTGGAGAATTTCCAAGATCAACAGCAGAAGAAAAAAAAATTCCAAAAACGAAAATTTGAAAACTTTAAAATATGGTTTGCATCTTTTCGAAAAAGAAAACGAAATGAGAAATTTTCCATTCAGGCAAAGTCAACCAGAATTGAATGCTGTTTAATTCAGTATTGGAACATTCTCAAGGCTCAAATCAGAAGTTTTGCTCAAATGGAAAGTGCCCTGGGAGTACATGTCAAGAGGTGGGAAATGAGATTGGGACATTCCAAAAATTTTCCGCATCTGGAGATGGAGGGATAGATACCTGTCAGATTCCGACAGGTCTCGGATCCAGCAAAAAAACTGCTTGCGACAGGTCTTAATTTCAATTTTACTGATTCTGATGCAACTGATTTTTTTTTAATAATACAAAAGGCTGATTCTGACAAGGGCAATTTCCTCAATTTTATACTGATTCTGTCAGTGATAATTTTCAGAAATTACAGATTCCGATAACCTAGCTTTCTAAAAAGAAAAAAAAAAAACTTTTCCTATCCCCACTCCTACAACGAAAATTGCAAACTCCAACAGAGTCTACTCAGACCTTACTAAAATATACCCTCCATAGGGGAGGGGGGGGCTGGTGCAGATAAAAAATGGAACGTCCCATTAGTTCAGACACCATATTCCCCACCTACACCTCTCCCTCTTCCCACACGAATGATACCTGCTCAGGCAGCCAATTAAGGTCATTCCCCAGTATTGCACTGCGCATCCCTACTGCGCATAATTTCACGCGAGATTAGCGCGCGCGCATTAAAAAAATGGCGGCTTTTTCTTTACAGCTGGACCTCGCCGTAGAGGTAAATCGTCATTTTCTCACAAACGAGTATGGTGACCTATCATTTTTTTCTGTTGTTTTGAATTGAGCAATAAATTTCTCTGTGTAAAACAAATATGGACCAGTTCTCAATGTAGAACAAAAAGCAATAGACGGAAACGTGAATTTAGCAAGCAATCGTGACTCTAATCATAGTGCTATTATAAGGATTTATATGGGTATAAACAAGGTGCTGTTGCTCCTTAACGAACATGGAGACCCCTCATTTTTATTTCAGAATTTAAGTTCCTGTAATATAAACAATCAATAGGCAAAGTTTCACAAAAATCTCAGTGCAGGTTCTATTTCAGTGGAATGACCTTAATAAGTGGAATAACACCTCACCTCACTCCATAACACTAGACTACAAATAGATAACACTGTTTACGTAAACTATGTAAAAACTCACCAAGCAATGTAAGTTTCTGCTTCACAGCGTTTGAGGCATAATTCTGTCCTTTGGCCGGAAAGCAACCTTTAGCAAACGCCCCTGGATAAATCAAGTTGCTTGGTAAGACTGATCGAAACTTTCCACCCAACAATTTAAACACAAATAAACTCGCGAATCCGTAGACAGGTACATCCTTGTAACAAACTGAAATGGAGATTGAACATCTGTCTACAGGAACAAACGAGAGGAATTTTTCCACCGAAACTTTCACTGAGTTGTCTTTGACTTCTTTCAACATTACAGTGCTTGAAAGAAAAGCTAGCGAAGCAGTACTGCTGGAGATAAGCACAGAAATGCCTCCACAGACAGAGCCAATGACGCGAATATTTGAAGTCATTCGTAGCGGACGAAAAATACCAGTTTGTAAAGCTCCCAAACAAAGTGGAAACGTTATTACACCAAGCCCACTAGAAAGTGCTACATCTGCTAAATCTACTCTTACGGATTTTCCCTCCGTAGAAATGATACGGTTGCGGATTTTCAACCCCAAAGCGCGAGCCTTTTGAAGAACTTTTTCTGCAAATTCTTCCGCCATTTTGTTTCATTATGGAACCCAAGCTCCCTTATTCTAGCCTGAGTCGGGGAGGGGAGAGGAGAGGCGAATACCGTGCGACCTATTGACTGAAAACCCGACACCTACGTAGAGGATATAAAATGTCTCTTAAATTTATTTCACTGCTCTTATAGGTTATTTCAAAGCTTTTGTGATCTGATGATGTATTCTGATTAGGTGAATTGATTTTGATTAGCTGCCCAACAAGTTAGTCCTATGTTTACCTTTTTTTACGATAACTGTATAAATTCTCGCGCGCTCATTGCCTAATTTTCATTGTCAATAAGCAGACTGGCACATGAATTTATAATTTATGCGATGCGTCAACGGGCGAGAGCGGACAAGTTAACAATTTGTTATCATAAAAAACAAATAGACGTCAGTTTTACATGCCTCTGTCCTCTTATGGACAATGAATTTCGTCATAACATTGTCAAAGTACCTTTCGGCTACTGCCTCGTACCTGCGAACAGGCTACCAGGCTCCTTCCCGTCGGATCGTTTTGCTCTCCGCTCGCGCGCGTGACTCAAAGGTGAGCTCTGCTCGCAAGCTAATGGATCAACAGCCACTTTGACAATGTTATGACGAAATTCATGATCAATAACAGGGCAGACGCATGAAAAACTGACGTCAATTTGCTAAACTGATACAAACGAGGGAAATTAGGAATTCCTAAGTCTTAAAACTATATAACCTATTCACGCAAAAGTATACAGATGTAATTCAACTTTTTAATTTATTATGCAAATTTAACTGACTTCCTAGAGGGTCGTAATGGTGGGTTACCTTCGCCTCGATTCGACAGTAGAAAGCTGTAGAAGGCTAATAAAATATAAGGGGTGGCAAATGGTCCTTCAAAAGCTCTGGGTCTCGTAAAATTTTAGTCGAATTTCACGGGTCTCGCAATCTCGTTTTTTAGCGGTTATGAGGGTCTCGCAGTCTCGATTTTTCTACGAAGCTGCCTTGGAGTCTCGATTTTTCGCAAGGCTGAGGGTCTCGGAGTCCCAATTCGTTCCTTTATCTGTTTTTATAAATTACGTCTTCTCTTCACTTGATATGGAATTTCAGTGAAGCAACTTACAAATTTTCCGAGATAAAGTTAATCCTAACTTCTCCTAATTGTCTTAATTCCACAAAAAGGTACGAAACCTACCGCAACGTCCGTTTTGGTGCCAGAAAAACAGTTATTTTTCTCTAGGATATCATAAGGTAATGTGTTATAATCGAATTTCCAGTTCCAGCCAGTTCCGAGAAGTTGGCTTAAGGCTGTACAAGCTCCTTCAATCTGGGGTTCGAATTTTAAGAGTCTGAACGTCTCGCGCTCGCACTCAAAACACTTTGAAGTCTCGGCCCCGCAATCTAAAAAGTCAAAATGTCTTGGGCTCACAAAGAAAAACGCTCGTCTCGCCGTCTCGCCGTCTCGCGAAGTCTCGCATTTACCATTCGCCACCCCTAATATAGCTTTTTGGCGGTTGACGGTTATATCTTCGGTTGTTTGACGGCTGATAGTAAAACATTTTCCGATTTGATGGTTGACGGCTAATTTTCACGGTTGACGGTTAACTTCATCGAGACCCGCTTCTCACAAAAAAGGACTCGCGCAATATTTCTATATATCACCTTGACAATGGCGTCAAGATCACACCGAAACGTCGGTCATCCTCTATCAAAAGAAAAAAGCCCAGTTTTCCATATGTTATCGATAGCGAAAGGCGAGCGCAGCATAATACAGTAGAGAGGTTAAGCATGATGTTCTTTACGGCAAATGGCAAACGGCAAAATGAAACTTTTGCCCTCTCTCTTCAGCTGTGTGTACAGTAGAGTGAAATTATTTGTATTTGCAATGAATAGTGGGAGATGTTATTCCATTTTTGTGTGCTTTATTTACGGATTAGAAGAAAAGAACTTAAAATCAGAAGTTATCTTCGCCGTTTGCCGTCTGCCGTTAACGTCATGCTTAACCTCTCTATTATTTCTGAAAAATACGTCTGATTAATTAAACAAGTGAAAAAAAAAAAGCGATAAGAAAGAACAACGTTTCGGTGACATCGTGACACCATTTTCAAGTTCAAACAGTGCAATAAGAAAAAAAAACTGTCAGAAAATTCGTTCAAGATTAACATACTTCGTATTTACATATGTAATGTCACGCAAATAGTTTTGCTTGAATTAAGTCCGACTGGGCATTGAGAGATGGTGTCAATTCTCTAATTAACAGCATTTCATGCACTAAACAATCGAACTTATTCATGTACTTCCTGAGAACGGAAAAATGGTAAAACTTGAAAATGAAAATGAAAATCAAATGAAAATGGTGTCACGATGTCACCGAAACGCTGTTCTTTCTTATCGCTAAGTTTTATTTTTACTCGTTTATGCTTTACAAAACCTTTGCGTATAAGGATTAATTAAACTTTTCGAAAACTTCACTGAGAAACAAATGAGTGTGACATACATATCAGATTCAAGGCAAAATCGATCGTACGTACATATAAATAACTTTTAGAATCCCAATTGATCAAGACAAATTGTAAACAATACGTGGCTCGAAAAAGTTCGTGTTCATTAATTCATTAAATTAAGTTAACCTAGTGACTGTGTCATTTTGTTTTCATGCAGACTTCCTTGTTAGTGGCTTATGAGGTTTTCAGTTTTGCTTTTAACGAGAATTGTGGAAGAAATCATGAAGTTCTTCCCCTTCGGTTCAGTGACTACAAGCCTGATAATTCTGTGCCTGTTACTCAGTCCAGTAAGTCAATCTACGATTTTCTAAGCGAGCTCTTTAGCCATATATTATTCTCTGTTTCAAAAAACTTTGAAAACTGTTTCCATCGGACGACGCTGGTAAACGTAATTCTGCGCTTCGGTGCTTTTAGCCTAAAGCTTGGCGCATTCACTCAGTGCACATGAAAGTAGAGAAAACAAAATTCCCAAAACGCAAATTTTGACCGTAATGTAGCATGTATTGACTGCGCAAAATTATTTGCAATCATAGGAAATAAATAGACAAAGTCACTTTGAATCGAATATATTTAATTTAGTATTAGTTCATTTACTTCATCAATTAATGAAAAATGTACGTCGCTTCAATTCTTCTTCTACAAAAATCGAAAGCATGCTAAATAGGTGTATGCCTAATTTATAACTATAGGTATTCTGATAAATTTTAACTCAAAAGTAAGTAACGCACGAGATAGTGGCGGAGTACTCAATCAAAATACTGTCGATGACCATGGTCTTTTGATTTGAATTTCTTTTTTCTTTAGATCGCTTATTCCTGTTGTCTGCAGTCCGCATGTTTAACAGACTCCTGTAAAACACAGGTAAGTCATCACTTGATTAGCAAGGCCAGTGATTTTTTTTTTTAACTCAGCTAAATCTAATAAAGCTATGTCCATTGTCTAGGGCACATCTGGAGTTGTATTCGAAACTCTCCCATCAGTTCAATCAAAAGTCTCCATCGTGTATCGCTGATTTTGTCTAAAAATTCCTTTTCTAGGAGAAATTGATTTACCATCAGACTATGACTCCATCATGGCTAGAGGCGCATGCGTCATACATTGACAGTTCTCGTACAATTACCGCCCACCAACTCACTTTCAACGCAGGCTCAGTAAATTACGCGGCTCTCCTAAAGGTTCCCATGATTCCAACTGGTGTGATAAGAGATTCATTTCCGCTGACCGTAGACATCACAGTCGCACATGACGTCAGCATCGGCCAAGGCACTGACAGCGATATAATATATGGCGTGTCAGACGGTACCAGATTTATTGGGTTTGAAACATGTGACAGAGAAAATTACAGAACTAATTCCCCATGCTATGGATCGGAAGGCTTGTCTGGCTCTACTTCGACCTCTCTTCGATACGAGTCAGTTATCCCTAAACCCAGCGAGTCTTTCTACCCCGGTCAGTTTGTCTTCACTCTCAAGTTGGATGAACGCTGGGGCTCCTGCTACACTGCGCATGACGGAGGTTTCGTGAGGACCGCTGGCTACAACAACCGACTGATGCTCAGCAAGGGACTCACTCTCGAGGTTTACAAGGGTAATGCAGGAGAGAGGGTTGGGATCAGGTACATCAAGGTCGCTGTCAAGCAAGACGCCTAGGAGGAGAAATCCTCGAACACAACGCACATAAGGGAACCATAGCAGTAGAAAAAGGAAACACGAGCAATACTGGGTGTTTCAAAGAAATTTTAATCATTGTACGTTACCAGTTGGTTAGTAAATAAAAACGGGACTAATAGAAATTTGTTGTCATTTTACGTTATATATGATCAATCATTGTCAGTCTACAAACTCAAAACTGATATTTTACAATGCACAATAAAGAGAAATCTGTTGGTCATTCTTTTACGCTGTATATAATCGATCAGTATCAAACGCAAATCGTCCCATTTCTTTTAATGTGCCCCCACCGACACTTTACAATTATCAGTTAGCGAAATTTAATCTTTTCAATCCTGACAAACATAGCTCTCCTAGGCCCTAGGAGAAAAGAAAACACCGTTAAAAGTGTAGCAGCGGAAAATAGGAGCGAAGTCGATATCACTCGTTTATGGAATCGAACACCTGCGGTATTGGGATTAGTTTTAGGAAGAACACTGGCTATATTTTTGAATTTTGAAAAGCCAGGTTTTTGACAGTCCAACTTTCATCTCTAGCTACAAAATAATTTACAGACTGAGTTGATCATGAAGTGAATACATGAACGGCCAGTGCGCCTGAAATTTGAATTGACCAATCAGGATTCACCAGTCACGAAAGCTACACTGTCTTGACATCAAAAGCATGTTATAAGATAGGCATTGAAGTCGGGCAACTTTTCTCACTGGGGACGGCATTTAATTTCCGATTGTAAAAAGTCAAAAAAAAAAAAAAAAGTGAAACATTTTGTGTCTTCAAGTTTTTAGTTTGGCGCCGAAATTTGATCTTCCGCGGTTCGGCGACTCGCTATTCGATAACTGTTACCAGGTATGATACATTACTTGCAAAAATCTTGGACGATTTTAATTTCGGACAAAACAAAGGTGTCCGAAAAAAAAAAAAATCAGTCTGAAACGTTCAAGCGTCCGAAATTTTAAGCATCCGAAATACTTACAGTTGCTCCAAGGATTAAATTCTTTTGTTCCGGCTTTATAGAGCGAACTCCAGTTCAGACACTACCTAACGGCTTGATAGAATTTGCATTATTTTCTCGTCGGTGTATTCAGAAAACCTTGAGGGTGCAGTTAAACTTTCATCTTTTAATGTTGTTCCAGTCTACTAGTTATGTTTCGGCAAAGTGTCAGAAATTGCTGTCCAAAATTTGTCCGAAATGAAGACAAAAAGTGTTTGAAATCTAAACGTCCGAAGTCGAAAGTTTTTGCAGGCATTTTAGTCACAGTGCCCTTTTCAACAAGAAAATGCTGTTCTGGTTAAGTCAAACCCAGAATTCTATTTATTGTTTGTTGGCTACGAAGGAAAAGACTCATTATCGTGTCGTTTTCGGAAGTGTAGCAGCTCTTGTAAACTTGTAATTCTTTCGCTTGTTCGCAGCTTTTATTGTTTCGGGGCTAGGGGGGCGTTGTTTCCATTGTTAGTATTGTCCTCTCAAAGGGTATCAAGGCATTCATGTGAGTCCGTCGTCGTCGTTGCCGTCGCCGTCGTCGTCGTGCGTACGCGCCCACGAGCAGAACTGCTAGCCATGATAACCATGAGATATTAAATTCACGGGTTTTCTTTTCTTTCTTATATGGGTATTGGGCTCCGCCTGGCGGCCCTTCGGGTCACCGGAGCTCCGCTACTAACTGTGTAAGAACATTGTGACAAGACATCAAACTCGATAAAAGAGGGTTGTCTTTGAAAGCTAGAGTTTTGACAGCCTTCGTGGAGTTTTGTTTAAGGCACATTAAGCATTTTCTTTGTTCACGCACAATCATGTCGAACATCCATGATAGCTCTCTGTAGTTTCGGTAGCAAACGCTCGAAATGTCACCAAAAATATACATTTGAGCTTTGCCCTACAAACAATCACACAATAACAAAATTAACTTATCTTGTGAAGCGAATATGTCGTGATTTTGTGATGATTGGACCAATTTTTATGTATGGCAACTCATTGTTTTGCTCATAAATCACTGCTATAAAATCAGTTACATTGCTATGGCCGGGAAAAACAAAATATACTTGTGTAGGAGTTTTTCTTTACGAATAAAATTGACAAATTTAGCCTCCCGAACGCGAGTCTGCGAGTCTGCTGGTGACAGTTGCTGTTTATTGGAAATCGTTCATCTGGTAAAAAATTTAATACGAATACCGGAAGGTGTCATTTCGTTGTGGTGAGAACTGATTCGGCCTGCATCTGCACGCCAACTATATCCAGCGCCTCAGAGAAATCCTGGCCACATTTGATATAATATATCAAACACGAGATACAGTGTTTCATCGGGATGTCCAAACACCGAGAAGAGAGTTGAAAATGCGACGCGCAGCGGAGTATTTTTGACAAAATTCGAGGTGTTTGGATAGCCAATAAAACACTGTCTCGAGTGTTTGATATATCCTCTCAATCGAAACAAAACTAAGGAGTAAACGGAGAAGTAAAATCGTCAAAATCTATGCTATTAATTATAGCAGGGTATCCAAACCTCCTTCACGGTTGCAATTTTCCTTCTTTTAACTTGATCAATTATTGATAAGTTTGAGAATGTGAGTTCGATTCTACACCCTGATATATATTAACGATAAACTCAGACCAACAGCAAACAAAGGTTTCTTTAGTTAAGCGATTCAGCGAAGACCAACACAGCGAAATACTAGTTTATTTACCGTTTCCACGCATAATTCGATTCGTCAACTATTTGTGCAAATGGAAAGCAAAAATCCCCTAATGTTAAATTCCGTACGCATTGGGCCTTTACCATTCACTCAGCAAGCCTCAATTTACAGGGAGAGGCTAGCCGGACTAATTCATGCTGATCAAAATTTCAAGAGTTTCAAATAGTTAGAACATTTTCCATTCGGATATCTTGTTTGCAAATTTGAACTAACTTTCAAAACGTTTTGTTTATTTGAGAAATTTCCCGTTCGGTCGGGCCAAATTGTCTTACAATTTACATTCTGACAGAAATTTCCGGAAGTTTTGGGTAAATGGTAAACAATCATAATCACATTGTATTGATATAAAATCAATTACAGTTTTTTTAATCAATCTTCGCGAATATATATGACATAGAAGCGCTTTCATTTAGCAAGAAATTAATCACAATATCAATCAAACTGTTAGTTCGCTGCTCTGTAGACTGTGTTCTGTAGCTTATTGTAAACATTTTGCTGGAGAAAAAAATTGAATAAGTTTATTATTTCTTTTCTTTGTTTCCTGACTCTGCTGGGATCAGCTTGCAGTGGGGTTTTTGGTTGGGTCCTTAAGAATCAAGCGGAATAATACAATTTTCACCCTTCAGTTCGATCCTGACTCTGGTTCTGTTACTCTGCATGGTAAGTCAGGTAAATGAGCTACGTCGCCTTTTTACACATCTTGAAAAATTTAGCCTAAATTTTTCAAGTTCGTTGTTTGTAATCCGTGTTAATCTTCTCCATTCTTAACCATCCGTGCTCCTTTATGGTTTATCATTTCATATTTGGTGTTTTGTTTTAGTTTATCTTAGTAACTCTACCATTTTCAGGTTTCCTTCAATTTGAAGGTAATTTTGTACATGTGTAAAGCTACCGTGACTGAGGTACTGGCAGCTAGTGAACAATGTATTGTCGTCAACAACTGAAAAGTTTTCAAAACTGTTGATTGGTCTTAAAGTCGTATATTATCAAATAAAATCTCGTGCTAAACACAGTTATCTATTAAAAAAAAAAGAAATTTTGCGAACAAATAGTTTTGATTTAGGAATCGGTAGGCTGAACGGATAAAAACGAACTATTAGGTTTTAAACGGAAGGAGCCCGGCGATTCGGTATAATTTTTAATTGAAACGACAGCCCCAAAATTAACTACCAATGTTATAAATAAAGTATAGTAGTACAAATGTTATGAGAAATGATAGCGTTGTTCCGTTGAAAAACAAAACTTGTTAGTATTAGCTTATTATTGGAATATTCGGGCCCACAGTCGACGAAATCCGGCTTAGGGTATTCCAACTACACCGAAGTATTGTGTCGTCTCTATTTACGATAGCTAGTGGAGAGCTATTAAATTTCATGGCCATGGCTGGGATTGAGTGTTTTCTTTTTTTTATGTCTTATTTTTAGATCGCTAATTCCTGTTGTCTGCATTCTGCATGTTCAGAAGACTATTGTGAAACACAGGTAAGTCACGTGGTTTTCCAGGCAAGTGTTTTTCTGAGTTCGACTAAACATTAAAAAGAAAATGATTAAAGTTCAACGTCCTTTGCAAATCTGGATTTGTATTTGACACTCTCCCATCAAAAAAATTAGCCTTCATTGTGAATTGATGAAAGTGGTTATAAACTTGTTGCGCAGGAGAACTTGATTTACCATCAGACTATGACTCCATCTTGGTTGGTGGCTTCTGCCTCCTACCTTACATACATACATACATACATACTTTATTGTTACCTCCACAATGGGGCTTTTCAGGAACAATTACTTAAATTACTAAGTTACTAATAACTACACAATCAAAATTCATCTAATTTAAAAAAAAAAANAAAAAAACATTTACAACATTATCTAAACTTTGTAGACGCGAAAAATACTAAAAATAAATGAAGTTTAGGGAGTATTTACAAAATTGTCTAAAAGCT